ACTGGAGCGGGAGGAAATTTTAGTGGAGCGAGGAGCGGTGTTGAGCGGAGCGACTTAGTGCGAATTAGAGCGGAGGAGCGGGCGGAGCCAACAGCCTTGTGAGCGAGGAGCGGAAATTGTCACTGCTCCGCTCCGCTCACATGCTCTGGTGGGGAGGCCATGTAACAGGATCTATCAGGAGGAATTTTGAATGATTATACACCTAAAGAATATAAAAATCACTGGTAGCCGACATAAAACTGTGTGAATCTTGGGCTTGGTTCCACCACCCTGTTCTCCCCCCATTCTCAGCGGGCTGTGTGGTTCAGGAGGACCTCACGGCGAGGCTCAACCTGATGAACGGCCGATACTCCCCAGTCAAGACCCGCAACATGGTCCCCCACGACATCGGAGACCCAGGTGGGCCGCAGAACGCTGCTCCCTCCCTCCGGTTGTGTCCCGATGATGCATGTCCTCACCCTGAGTCTTCCAGAGCTCTCTGAGTTTCTGTTATATGTGGATCTGTGTCTGACTTTATGAAATTACATTTTTATTAATGATCGACACTAGATGGCGCCATGGATGCTTAATGGGTATTGCTGTTGCCTCATACTACACATTCATTCATAATTAAAAGTATATTACTGGTAAGATGCAAGTTTTTAAAAAAAATATTAAGAAGCCGTATGTGGAGAACATTTCGTAAATTGGTGTTTTGCTGGTGACACGTGGGCGGAACGTTGTGGTACCGCACTAACAGGCCAGACGCTGTTCCCTCTCAGACGACGAGCCCTGGCTGCGCGTCAACGCCTATCTGATCCACGACACGGCCGACTGGAAGGACCTGAACCTGAAGTTCGTGCTGCATGTGTACCGGGACTTTCACCTGACTCAGGACAGGCAATACCTGGAGGACATGTGGCCCATCTGTCAGGTGAACAGCCAGCGCCCCCATCTGGCGGTGTCGGAGTTCTGCCTGAGGAGAGCAGCTCTTCAGCCCAGATCAACTTTTATAAACCCCCTTTGGTTTTCTTTGCCAGTCACTTCTTAGGCGAGTACCAGTCACGTGGGTACAGAACCAGGTCGACTGACTGATATCCCACCTCACCCCGCAGGCTGTGATGGAGTCGGCGATGAAGTTTGACCTCGATGGTGATGGGCTGATCGAAAACTCTGGCTTTGCTGACCAGACTTACGACGGCTGGACGGTTACCGGGCCCAGGTTGGTGGTTGGGGGTGTGGGGCTGGCAGGCAGGGGGGTGACATGTTCTGAAGAGCCACAACTTCATTTGGGAGGGAGGAGAAGGACCCGAAATCTCTGGCTATGAAATGCCTCATTCCCACCAACGTGGTGCCAGTGCTGTATGTTTTCTCAATTCGGCACTGGTTCCACACGTTTCCACTGCAAAAAAATGGCCCTGGGCCAGAAGAAATAGCTCCAGCACAGCACCATAGAAAAGCTGGTCTCAGAATTTGGCACTGTAATGTAAGTGGGATGGGCTGTTGCATCCAAACCTTCCGTATACCTGGACAATTCAGTCAACAACTGATATAGTTTAGTCTAATATTGCTGGTACCAGCTGTGAAACAACTAGCCAGCTGATTAGCAGAATAATGTTGCATCGTTTTTTTTATTCTGTGAAAAACGAACAATCAATCTGCTGGCCAGATTTAATAATAAAGTATAAATATGTCCGAGGTTGAAAAAATATTGTGGCAGACAACAAAGTTCAGTTTTTAGCAGTTTTTAGCATTATTGCGTGATCCTTAAACGGACAGCAGTAAAACAGCAAGTGAGAATAATCTAACACA